TGTGTTGAGAGCTCTGCGAACGTGATATCGCTGTGAGGAGCTTGCCATTTTCGTAAGCTCCACATTTTACACTTATATATTTATACTTTTTCATGTGTCCATTTTGACTAGGCCTATTTGGTGCGGCCCTTTTGACTAGAGTGTCTACGGTCCTTTTATGATGTATCACCCTTCAGACCTGTTTCTGTCCTGGCTCAAGCCGAGGCTTGTCTTCGAAAATTGCCGCTAGATTTCCTCGGGCAGGCGTAGTCGTGTGGATACTTCGTTACTAAACATTTCACATACCTTGAATTATTAGTCTATGTACGCGCAAGTGGCATAGCCTTAGATCCACTGACGCTATCCGGCTCACCTTTTAACGCCGATAACAATACAGATATGACATGTGGCGATTGCTAATCACATATTCTGACACGACCCAGAAATTTCGGTTACGACCAACTCATCGTTTCGAGTTCGAACCACCAGTTTTAAGAAGTTAGGTCACAATATTTTTTTATTCTCCCATTGCTTAATTCTGTTCATGTTCATTACTTTACTTCGAAATACTGCACTGAATTTAAACGTACACATTTTTTAACAGCAGTCTAAGCGTAACAAATACAGTATCAGTGAAATATGCTCTTTATCCCTGTGTTGTGGCTTTTCGGACGCCTAAGAAAGATTCGTAGTTTTCTCTCTAATCACATGAACAACTGTAAAACATCTCATTCACTTATTAAAGACAACTTTCTCTTAAAAACAAGCTATCATCTGAGTATTTACAATGTCTGTGCGACGATACACCCCCCGTTATAGCGCGAGTAATCGCGACAAACATGGCCGTCCGAAAACCTTTAATCCGACGATAACTGCAATAATTTATAGATGGAATGAACAGCCGGATCTAGTTCGACAACATGTATGCATGAAATATTACATAAACATTGTAAGATACACACAGACATACACGCACACACACACACACACACGCAGATTTATACACACAGATATATACAGACACACATACACAGATAGACACACACATACAAAGATATATATACACACATACCGACACACAGATACATACAGACATATATACACACACAAACAGAGACACACGTACTATCAGCCAAAGGCATAACTGGTTCAACAAGGCTGATGTCTAGCAAAGACTGCGTTGACCCTCCCTTTGACATGTGCGAGTTTGAATGTTGTGTTATGTCTTGCCACGAACTATTTACAGTTAGTCAAGATAGGCACAACAGGGTTGAGCTCACAATGTCTGCCTGGCGTACGCAAGACAAAGTGACTGTACTTTACTGGTTTCTTATTCAGGTGAATTTTCTCCATGAGTTGAGTTTTCGTTTCAGACAGTCTGAAGTCGACATTGCAAGATGTCAGATATTCCTGTATGGTCGACTTCAGACTACTCATGGTGGGCGCACCAGTATCTGGTTCCCCGACGTTATATTAACTGGCGTTATCCATGACAATGACGCAGGGGTTGTTTTGATTGGGCAGTAGCTGATGATCCAACCAGTCTATGAACACATTACCTATCATTTCCTTATGATAATCACCAGTTTTCTTTTCGCCCCAAAACTAGCTCACATCCATCAATAAGCCTCAGATCACGGGCTCCGGCGGGCAAAACAACTCCAAGCATGGTTGTGGTCACCTATGACAGTGGGGAGTTTTGACTGGTGGCAGCGATAGTATTGAGAGCTCTGCGAACGTGATATCGCTGTGAGGAGCTTGCCATTTTCGTAAGCTCCACATTTAATACTTATCTATTTATACTTTTTCATGTGTCCATTTTGACTAGGCCTATTTGGTGCGGCCCTTTCGACTAGAGTGTCTACGGCCCTTTTATGATGTATCACCCTTCAGACCTGTTTCTGTCCTGGCTCAAGCCGAGGCTTCTCTTCGAAAATTGCCGCCAACTTTTCTCGGGCAGGCGTAGTCGTGTGGATACTTCGTTACTAAACAATTCACATACCTTGAATTATTAGTCTATGTACGCGCAAGTGGCATAGTCTTAGATCCACTGACGCTATCCGGCTCACCTTTTAACGCCGATAACAATACAGATATGACATGTGGCGATTGCCAATCACATATTCTGACACGACCCAGATAGTTCTGTTTCGAGTTCGAACCACCAGTTTTTAGAAGTTAGGTCTCAATATTTTTTTATTCTCCCATTGCTTGTTTCTGTTCATGTTCATAACTTTACTTCGAAATACTGCACTGGAATTAAACTTAGACATTTTTTTAACAGCAGTCTGACCTACAGCGTAACAAACACAGTATCGGTGAAATATGCTATAATATATATCCATGTGTTGTGGGTTTTCGGACGCCTAAGAAAGATTCGTAGTTTTCTCTCTAATCACATGAACAACTGTAAAACATCCCATTCACTTGTAAAAGACAACTTTCTCTTAAAACAAGCCATCATCTGAGTATTTACAACGTCTGTGCGACGCTACATCCCCCGTTATATACAGCGCGAGTGGGCTAATCGCGACAAACAAGGCCGTCCAAAAACCTATGATCCGACGATAATTGCAATAATCTATAGATTGAATGAACGCCGCCACATCTAGTTCGACAAAATCTATGCATGAAAGATCACATAATCATTGTCAGATACACACACAAACACACGCAGATATATACAGACACACACATACAAAGATATATATACACTCATACCGACACACAGATACATACGGACATATATACACACACACAGAGACACGTACACACAGATACAGACACACACAGACAGACATACACACACGCATACACCCACACAAACAGATACACACTCACACACATACAGATATACGTATTTATCACAAATACCGCAAACCTACCTAATCTAGCCTCTCCTAAATGACACTTTGATTAGCCTTAAAATGTACTTTTACAGGTAAAATTATGATAAACTGAGAACATATTCGTGTGTTGTCATGCATGTATGAAACGGCCCATAACCGGAGGTAATTAGCTGACACCTGTCCCGCGGTGATGACCTCACATCGGCCCCTGCATTCTCACAGGTGCAAATGTCACCTGAATTGGGGTTGGTCTCAAAACATTGCTGTTATTGTACTTTATTGAGATATGATTTGATGGGGTAGCAATTAAGGATATGTACTGCATTATGTTTGGCTTGAAAAATGATGGAATAGTCAAAATCTATGAAACGGAATGAGTATTGGAAAGTTGCGCTTTTGGAATCAAGAAGTATTTGTTGTTATACAGATGATTTCTTTAGGTAGCATTTGACTCCACTGATGACGTATATGAATCTGTACTATAACCCAAAGGCATAACTGGTTCAACAAGGCTTATATCTAGCAAAGACTCCGTTGATCCTCCCTTTGACATGTGCGAGTGCCACAATCTATTTACGGGGCGGTCGGGTAGCCTAGTGGTTAAAGCGTTCGCTCGTCACGCCGAAGACCCGGGTTCGATTCCCGACATGGGTACAATGTGTGAAGCCCATTTCTGGTGTCCCCCGCCGTGATATTGCTGGAATATTGCTAAAAGCGGCGTAAAACCATACTCACTCACAATCTATTTACAGTTAGTCAAGATAGGCACAACAGGGTTGAGCTCACAATGTCTGCCTGGCGTACGAAAGACAACGTGACTGTACTTTACTGGTTTCCTTTTCAGGCGAATTTTCTCCATGAGTTGAATTTTCGTTTCATACAGTCTGAAGTCGACATCGCAAGATGTCAGATATTCCTGTATGGTCGACTTCAGACTACTCATGATGGGCGTTACAGTATTATATCTGGTTCCCGACGTTATATGAAATGGCGTTGTCCATGACAGTGACGCTGGGGTTGTTTAGATTGGTTGGAACATCAACTACTGCCCAGTCTATGAACACATCACCAATCATTTGATACCCAGTTTTCTTTTCGCCCCAAAACTAGCTCACATCCATGAATAAACCTCAGATCACGGGCTCCGGCGTGCAAAACAATGACGCGATTACCTTTACCTGAAGGTGCCAAGGGTGCTATGTCTGGGGTGTAGGGTGGGTGATTTAACTATTCAGCCCAGACTTCGCCCCCAGTGACTATTTCCTGTTCCGCTAAATGAAATTTGCCCTACGTGGAAGACGCTTCCAGGATGACGAGGACAAAGGCTGCCACAAAGGCGTGGTTAGATGGCCAATCTGCGGATTTTTATAAAAGTGGTATTAAAAGCTTTAAGGACAAATGGAATAAGTGTATTGAGGTGAATGGAGATTATATTGAAATATTGGTCAAATATTGAAGTTGCAAAACTTTTTGAACGTATGAGGGTGGTCTGTAAGTAATCGAGTCTAGACCAGACAATCCAGGGATTGACACCATAAGCATCGATCCACGCAATTGGGATACGATGACATGCATCAACAAAGTCAGCGAGCTGACCACCCGATCCAGTTAGTCACCTCTTACAAGCATAGTCGGCTTTTACAGCCGGAATGGGTTGCTGAAGACCTATTCACTTTGAGTACCATTCTATTCAGATTGTGAAACTGCATTAGCTCTACCCTGGCAATCCGTTCGAGAACAAATCATCCAAACTGGTTCTTAGGCTGTCTGCTTAGACATCAGTTCATATAAGACTATTTCAGTTATCTGATCGTGGTAGGAACGCTAAAATCATTCTGACCACTTTGGTGACTAAAGACTAATCGGTGGAAATTTGGGATTGATACCAGCTCAACCTTCCACCACTGAACACTCATTCTCACACCAAAACACAAAACCCATGGTTGTACAACATATTTATTTCTAATGTATTCATACATTTCGTTGGGAAAACAAAGGCAAATGATATTTTGTTGGGATAACAAAAGCAAATGTCATTATGTGCTCAACTATGCAAAACATTTCATCAAATGATGCATATATATATATATATATATATATATACACATCTTCACGATGCTACAATAGTCTCCAATCAGTCTCTTCAGCAAATAAACCAAAATGGCACAAATATCAGGTTTTGATTCATATTTATTATCACCGATTTAGTATTAATAACCAAGTGGAAAAATACACGACATCCATTCATTTTTGTGGAAATATACATCACACAATTTCCAACCGTTTGGTGAAATGGTACAATGAAATGACAATCTTGATCAGTATGAATTCACTGACAAGTAACACCAATAAGAACAAAATAAAACTTCTCGTATCTGAAAAGTCTCAACCAAATAAACGACTTTCAGCATGGCTAAATCATCTTCCCGAGGAAAGGGTGTCAACTGACTATTAGAGTTTCCACTCTTGCCGAACTAGGCTGGAACTCCTGGGTCACATTGTCTGGACTAACGAGTCTATGCATAGTCCAATCCAGATCGCATAACAAACTAGACATCCAGGTCGTAAACAACATGGGTTTCAACGTGCATATTTCGGTGGACTGAAGGATTTGCAAAGCATGTGGACCACCAACTGGGTGTAAGGATATTTGGCAAATCTTTTCATTATTTTACCAAGGTGCACATGATTTGATGCACTTCGCGAGGTAAACTGGACTTTTATGGTCAGAAACCCATCTTGCCTCGGGAAGATGGGTTTATGTTAAAGCAAGCAATTCCAAAAGGCTAATGAATCGAAGTAAGCCGAAAGAAATATCTTTGAAACAAAACACTTCCATGGAAACACTGACTATGGCAAGTCGCAGCAGAGACAGTATCATCTTTGGTGTGAAAAATATTAAGTACATTCAGTGTGACAATGTGTAGAACTGTATGCTTACAGGGAATTGTCACTTAGTATTATACAGAACATTACTGACAGTCCAAGGGGAATGATGTTTACATGTGATGACTACTATGTAGACAACTGGCTGAGGACCGACATTATACAGCTATACAAAGAGAATATTCTGAAGGAATTCTGGGAAAATGATTTGTTCTGAACCCATACAAAATAAGCATCAAATAAGTGGCTTGTATTACATAATTAAGGGATGAAAGCAATATACAGCTGGCAATGTTTTGGAGGAGAAATTTAACAACGTAATTATTAGAACAATGTTAAAACAATGGGGGAAAAAAACACGGGCCTAAACATGTTGTGGTGTCACTCAAACAAGCAGGCAATGTGACAGATGATGAAACAGATTGTGAGTAAAAATCCTTGACAGCCATCTTGGAGACTAAAACATGATATGACAATGCTTGTTCTACCTCCCACCAAGCCCCAAAGATACACGAGACAATGTTTAACAAAGAAATTTCATTAAATGTCCATATCACAAAACAAGGGTAATTCGCACACCTCACACACCATCCTCTCACCAAACATCCTACCATTCACATGTCAACCCAGATCCTTTACTTTCGTCCCCTTCTTCCTCTCCGCCCTCTTCCCCGCCCTCTCCCTCTAGCAGCTGTAGGGGTATCATTGGCTGGAGCATCTTCACTCTCAACACTCTCAACATTCTCAACATTTTCAACCACCTGCTCCACAGCCTCCTCCGTTTCTTGGACAGATGTCTCTGCAACATCAGAAGTGTCCTTATCTTCGCCTGCTGTCTCCAAGCTCCCATCTGCTAAATCTATAATAGCAGCATCACCCTCATCTTCGTCTTCATCATCAACATTGAACATCATATCTTCGGGCATTAATCCACTCTCCGACTCATCATCATCCTTCTCCAATAGCTTCTCCTCCTCTTCTTCCTCCGTCAAATTTTTTTCTTCCTCCACAGCACAATCATCATCTTCCATCATATCTCCGTTAGCTTCCTCATCCTGGTCAAAGTCCTCAGCAGCTTCAGAAGCCTGACCTTGACCTTCCTCAGCTTCACCTTGACCCTCGGTGTCAACCATATCCTCCTGAACCTCGTTTCCTCCATTCTGTTTGTCTGCCTCTTCCTGGCCCTCAACCTCCTCATCTTTCACCTTTTCAGCAGGCTCTTGTTCTTCAGCAGGCTCTTGTTCCTCCCCCGTCTTCTCTGCCTGGGCACTGTCCGTCTCATGGTCAGATTTAGGTTCATCCTTAGCACTGACAGGGGTTGATGCCTTCTTCAAAGCCATGGCTTTAGCCTTAGCAACATTTTTGGCCTTCTGAAAATACATTTACTATGATGAGAAATAGTGAACCAAGGGAAGGTGCTGTGGTGCAGTAAATACAATGTTGCATACGTAACATCAGAACAGCTACTTATCAGAAACACAAGTGTCTTCATTCAATTTTCAGAAGACCATCGTGATGAAAATCATCAAATAAGCAGTCAAAAAAAATAATCAACTATAATGCTTCGATTGAAAGCTTGGATGAAAACAATTTGCAGGGATAAGGTGCTGACTGTCCAAAGATGAACAGAGGGGTCATTCTTGGATTCAAACCCTCAAACAAACTCAGGAGTGAGGTGAGGGTTTAACGCTGCGTTCAAGATTATTACACTTGTATAATGATGTGCATGCACATGAGTGTGGCTGCTCTTACTATTCAGGACTAATGCCGAGTTTATAGTGCTAGCCAGACACAGTATACAGACTCCCAAGCCGACCAGTCCTTGTTTTAGCCCCTTAATGCCGAGTACCAAGAAGTACCATCCTTAAACATCTTTTGGTGTGACACGGCTTGGGATCGAACCCCCAACCTTCCACTCACTCGGCAGACGCTCTAACCACTGGACCACGGAGCGAGTGAGATGATAAACATTGAACATGAACAAGCAATCTTGCAGCTATTTGTGTTGAATCTAATTTAGGCACAGAGGACAACTCTGCAGTTAGTTGTGGCACTTTAAACCACTTAACCACCCCAGTCGTTTCTAGAACAGAATGTAAGCATTCAAAGAAAGTAAACTTGGGTATGACCGTGATTCCCCTAAACAGTCGTCATAATGACATTTTCCTTGTCACTATCAAACAATAATTAGATAAGATAATGTAATGGCTGCCTCCTTTACCTTGAACATGTTGAAGTGGGGCTGTGACTGACAGTGGGTAACCTTGGCGGCTGTTTCGGTGTTGTAGAACTTGTGACATAACTTGCAGAAGAAACCCGACACAGGAATAACATAGTTCTGACCTGAAGGAAAAACATGGCAAGGTCTTAGGAACACGAAGTCACAATGAATACAACCCTACTTCTATAATCTATGAGATTCTGTGTTTCATCAGTATCACGTTTTGACTTCAGTATTTTCAGAAGACCGTCGTGATAAACTCATCACTTGAAAATGAAGATTTGCTGAATGTAATGTTGATTCCATATCACATGAATATTCCCAACTAAAATCCATATTCTCTAGATCTTCCACATTCCTCTTAATTCAGTAACTGTTACAAAATTGTCCCAGTCAATGAGGATGCGGACACCGTACATGACATGGTACATTCAGTAGTGATTGAACAAGCATCACTGAATCAAACAAGCCATTTCTTTTCCCTCAATGACAGAGTATAGTCACCAATATTCCAGCTATGTAATGGTGGCCATCCTCCATTATCCCGCATATCATATTGCATTCTATTATAATGATAAACACACTGGACCCACCTACAAATATAGCTTCATTTTGGGACAAATTCAAATGACAAAATGCTAAAAATCCAATTAAATTACATTCATGGCCGAGAGAAATCCTGTGTTATGTTAATGATAAGCATGATGATGGATATGGTGACAGCACTTCTGAAAGGAAACTTCGGTGGCAAATAGGTTCAGGGTATTTATCACAATGAAATGCAGTTACTGGGGACCTCATCTGCACTAGAATCCGCTCATATATCCCTATCACAAGTGAGAATATCTACTTCCTTGTCAAACTTCATCAGTATCACGTTTTGACTTCAGTAGTGTCAGAAGACCGTCGTGATAAACTCATCCCTTGAAGATTTGTCAAAATGAGGTTGATTTTTACTACCATGAGGTATTTTCAATCAAGATAAAGGTGTAAATAAATCATATCATACATTTTCATCTCAAATAGTTAAAAAAAATTGGTTAAAAACTCCCTTTTTGCCAAAGGTTGAAATGAACCAAAGCTTTAGGATAAATGACAACAGGTTCAGCATGTTCAGCAGTGAAAAGTCATGGCAAAAAAATTGATGGATTTTATTCAATAAACTATTAAGACAAGTTACAGTGGAATAAGAAAATTGTTTTGTCAAGCCGGTCACAAGGCATTCACAAAGGTGAGCGGATGTGCCCTTGGAAATTTAAGCTTGCAATAAAGAATAATACCATCAATCCATCTTCATAGAGTTTGTCCCCTTCCTTTTCAATGAGATTGATAACCTCTTATTAATCCCCACATTCAACTCTTCTTTATCATTCTGTGCACGAAGCCACTCATAAAGTTCACGTTCCATGAGTTTGTCCAGTTAAGCACTGGCTTCAAATATCATCACAACAACGTATTGCTGGTAAAAAAAACCCTATTTTCTCATCTTTATTGTGCTATTACAATTTTCACAATGCCTAATGAGTTTGTTGGGTTGGAAAGCTATTCAGTTGGTTTTCTAGCTGTATGAAAGCCACCAATAAATAATCAAGTGGTTGATATAATGAGCAACAATCCATGCCATCAGGATACAATGATATGGAATCAACCAGGTCAAAGCCTGACCACCCGATCCATTTAGTTACGACCAGCATAGGTTTCTGGGGACCTATATTCTTACCCAGAATCCCCACGGGTTGTCAAATACAAGGAATATTTAACAATGCGGAATGAAGTGAACTCACCAACAGCAGTCTCTGCATCATACTGCAGCTCAGGGCACAAGTCTACATCCTTAGTCTCGGATTTGCCCGATTTCGAGGTTCCAGTTCGGGAGGTGTCAGATTTACCCGACGTATTTAATCTGGAAGTTCCAGATTGGGTTGTCCTTGATCTCGACTGAAAGTAACAATACAGATAAATTCCAAACTGTCCTTTGGTTTAATGCACGGAAAACGCAACATAACCACAAATTCAATAGTGAAGAAATTCAGAAGCCTGCAATCCCTTTCCAAGTTTCAGCTGGCCACTATGTCATGTGCAAACTATATATCTACTTCCTTGTCAAACTTCATCAGTATCACGTTTTGACTTCAGTAGTGTCAGAAGACCGTCGTGATAAACTCATCCCTTGAAGATTTGTCAAAATGAGGTTGATCCTAACTGCCATAATAAAAAATATAAAATAATAACTGGTTAGGCACCATCTTGCTCAAAGCAAACATGATGAATGTGATAAAATCAAGAGTTGTATTTGTGAAAGATGAATTTTAAGCTTAGACTAGAAAAGAAATAGGAGGAGCTCTTGAGTTCAATTAGATGACAGTTCCACAGTGAGGACCACAAAAAGATCTTTATCCAAAGGTCTTGAGATTGACACTTGGAACACAGAGACCAAGTTTCTCCATGGATCTCAGAATCTCGACTGGGTTTTACTTCTCCAACTCGAGTACATAGCTTTACCTTCCTGTCCCCTCCATCCCTGCTGTAACCAACACTATCCACTGTAACCAGGTCGGAGGATCGCCCCGATCTGCTGTCGGTCCTCTTCGTAACATAAGCTTCGGGCTTCTTGCCATATTTAGCAGCATTCTAGGTAAGACAAAATATTCTTGTTAAGGCATGAAGTATTCTTGTTAAGGCATGAAGTATTCTAGTTAAGGCATGAAGTATTCTAGTTAAGGCATGAAGTATAATACGACACTAAAATAACATTTATACTACAACAACTGACAAGGCAATTTAGATGTCATTCTTTATATGAGACTCAGTTCTGCATATCATGGAAAGATAAAAATATCCTTTCAAAAGTGGAGGAGTATAGTATTTGGCTCCATACATGAAAACAAGATTGGTATGGTAAATAATTCAATCCCATCATGACCCGTGAAGATCCGGGGTAGAATAGCTTGTTTGTAAAAGGTGACTATGCTTGTCGCAAGAGGCAAGTAACGGGATCGGGTGGTCAGGCTCACTGAATTAGTTGATGCATGTTATCGTATCCCAATTGTGTGGATTGATGCTCGCAATGTCAATTACTAGATTGTCTGATCCAGACTCGATTATTTACAGACCCCCGTCATACAGCTGGAATATTGCTTAGTGCGACGTTAAACAACAAACAAAACAAACGAACAATCCCATCAAGATGAAATGAAAACAATCATGATTGCATAACAAAGCTCACATACTGGCATGTACGAGATAGTAATTATTATATAAGAATAGTACTTTCTTACAAAACATGACAGAAAAAGACAATGTGCGTGTGGTGATTCAAGCATGTCCAGTTGTCCTTTGCTGATTTTGAAGATCAGGAAGCTGAACAGTATGCAGAAGAGTCACTCAGCAATATTCTAGCACTATGACGGCAATCTAAATAATCGAGTCTGGGACAGACAATCCATTGATTGATATCACGAGTTCCGATCCACGCAATTACCACCTGATCCTTTTTAGCCACAAGCACAGTTGTAGTCTCTCCACGTGGATGACCGTAGGCTGTATTGTACGTACCTCCTTGTGAATTGGTCTCTCTCTGTGTTTGAGGACGTCAGAGAAGTTTAGGAAATCTTTCACGCCACACCAGCCACATCCCTTCCTCACCTGCATCTCCCGTTTCTGAAACACAAGGCAATCAATCAGCTGTTAAGTCATTATTTTGGATGTGTGAGAGCTTGAACAGCATTTCAAGTGTACCAGAGTCAACCAAGTGAGGAGAACACAAATGAAGACTATTGAGAGCTAAAGGATCACAACTGGGGCACATTTGGAACAAGGGCCATAACTCTGTACCAAAAAATTAATTTGCGGCATCAATTTCCAAACTTGGTCTTAACAAGTATCTTTAAAATGAGCATGCAAATTTTCATTCATGTAATTTCAGAGAAAACTTGTTCCCATTTTATGCAGTATGCACTAAGCTGAAAAAGCATGTTTTGAGTTCATTCAAGATCATGGCCAGTAACACAAAGTTTGTACAATTTCATTTCTTTAACTTAAACAGTGTTTGAAAAAACTTGTCCCCATTGAGAAGTGGACGGACAAACTTTCTTCCTATTTAATGTACTTGGCTGAACTTGTACCAGGTGCATGTTGACATGAAAACCAAGTTGCAACAAACAATCATGTTGCACCCTGGTCTCATTAATTTACCAAAAGTCTGCGGCCAGTGTCACAAATGAATAACACATAACTGAAAACATAATAGGGACATGTGCACATAATCTTGAAGCACCCCCAGTCTCATGACAAGACTCAGAAAGCATGACGAGTTGTGTGTGATGTACTATGGTAAATAAAGATACTGAGTGTGTTCTGAGATTAATAAATTATTGTGTGCAACAAGTGAGGGTTACACAGACCCAAGTTTGAAGTTTTTGTGATAAAGTGACAGAAATATTAGGTTGCACGTGTTCATGGTTTGTATAGCTAAATCTACCCCTGTACTGTGGCATGTCCAGCTTACCTTGTGGAGAGTGGTCAGCTTGTGTCGGAGGAAGGGGATGCTCAGCTCCTGATCACACACCTTGCAGAATCCAACTCTGAAACAAACACTTTCAGCTAACAAAAAATTCTTAATTTATTTCAGAAGCTCTAAAGTAATTATTTCTGGACAAAGGATTTTACAGAGTCATAGTTTCAATAGCTTATAAAAACCCATATGGCACAAGCAGAATGCTTCTGTTCTATCTGCACAAATATACACGGTTTGTTATGGTTACAAACCTGTTACTTTCAATGCGCTTCAGATGTTCCTGTGCCTTGAGGCGAGCCTGAATGTGACTCGACTTCTTGCCAGTTACTTCCAGGACATCGGACATCCTTTCCTTGTGCCTTGTACTGGACATGTGGGCACGGAAGTTCTGGAACACCAACAAATAGCTTGTTACTGGGGTTCTCCAGCAGGGATGTTGCGGTTCAGCTCATCACCTTGCTTCTACCACTGTCAACATCTCACAGGCATGCATACACATGTTCAACCCCAATGTACCAGTGAGTATGGTTGCATGCTGCTTTTATCAATTTACAGGCAATACCACGGCAGGTGGCACCACCACAGGCCTTCTATACATGTGTTTGTTGTTTAACGCTGCACTCAGCAATATTCCAGCTATATGGTGGTCTGTAAATAATCGAGTCTGCTCCAGACAAACCATTGATTGACATCATGAGCATCGATCCACGCAGTTGACATGCATCAACCAAGTCAGAGAGCCTGACCACCCGATCCTGTAAGTCGCCTTTTACGACAAGCATAGTTGCCTTTTACGGCAAGCATTGGTTGCTGAAGACCTATTCTACACCGGATCTTCACAGGTTCATATATGTGTTTGGGAATCAAACCAAGAATATGCCGATTGTGCCATGGCCTGACAGCATTGATAATTAGTTTGCCCGTTCAACAATGGATAATACAGGCTGTCATGCCCTAGCTTAGTATTCAGCGATAGAAACCAACAGTTTTAGTCCACTAGTCCTAATAACACATAGCAAAACTTTTGAAAAAGGCAGATTTCTACCAGTTCTTATGGGTACCTTCACTATTGGACAATTTGGCCAGCACTATAGGACCAATGCATCTCATTACACAGGCTGCCTGTCACCATCAATCACACAAATTAACCTAGGATTCCAAACTATTTGCTCTTGGCAAACAAACAGATTAAAAATAACTTTTAAAATTGGAAATGTTGTTTTCTCAAATTAGGAGGTATCTTACCATTGCACTCAATGAGATCAATTAAGCATTAAAGCCTTTCGATCCACTTTATTGGTCCTGTTTCAGTGAAATACAAGTCGGTTGTACAAAGCCATAACATATCATCGGCTATAAATATCACATAACCATCGATTATATATGAGAAACTTTTGGAATTTCAATATGTGAAAGTGTGCTGTTGCGATTTATCAAGACCTGATCAGGTGACGATTTTCAGACCCAAGTCTGCAGTCAAAATTGCCGAAACCTCAGAATTTACAAATATTTGAACATAATAAATATCAAACTTTCAATACTATCACAATTTTTGTGCCAATTTACCTACCAAAGGCACTTTGGAATCCTAAATAAATATTTCTCGGGTGCTTGTGCTTTTAGCCCCTAAATTTGAAAAAGGCCATCATTTTCAAAGACAATGGGGCATTTTAACGTTGTGCTGTATTGTATGGGCAAATGCGGGCGCACCTCTAGAAAAATTTTCAGATGCCCATGTCGGAAAATTAAGAGAGTGAACCCTGGAAACAATGAAATCAAGGTAGGGAGGCATACAGGGCTGACTAGTGAGTGTATGCATGCCTTGCAAGAGTTGACAACTTACACGACATTACTGTGAAACAAGAGTGTTTTAAACTTCAGTTGGTGAACAATAGTTTCCAAAGAAAAGTACCTGCCTAAGATACCAGTAATATATTCTAAAAGATATATCTGTTTTGAAGTGTTACATCCAATCGTTGTAGAACTTGTGAATCTTGTCAAAACCTGTTGTGCATGTAACTATATGACTGTATCTACCTTCAAACTACTAAACTATCAATGTACTAGCATGATTAGTATGCATGCTTTTAGCTGAAAATGAAAATAGCTTTCTGCTATTGACAAAAAACAAATACAAAACTCCCCAACATGCTCTAAAACCTGAAGAAATACTTCAAGTAATTGTAGTTTCTAACCTTGCAGATACACTGCATTTTGAAACTGAAAATCAAAAGTAGGAAATAAAGTGTTAGAAAACATAATGAAAGCGAAGTGCAACAGAGCACACAGGTGAGCATGTTATCAAAACCCAACAGGTACCCGTCGGAGGTCGTCCAGGTAGACAAGACTGGAGACAAGTGCCAGATTTGTTTCAATATTCAAAGTAGTAACAGAATAGTGGACAGTGACAGTGTCTGAGTGAGTGGGTGTGAATGTTTACAGGCAGACCAGCTAGGGGCCATCATGGTAAACACAACAGCAGTGAACAGGCAAGAAACCGTTTCACTATTGAAGACAGTGACAGAAATATGGATGGTGACAGAAAATGTGGATAGTGACGGAAAATGTGGATAGTAATAGGTGCTTGAGAAATTGAACATTTTTCCCATGTAGTTGGGAGCAGTAATGCAGTATCAACAGTGTTGACAGGCTGGGGGGAGACAAATAGCCTGAGTGTTGACCCATACCTGTGGGATATGTCAGCACACCAGAGCCTCTACATACCTATGTTGAGTATAGGAGTTGGTAACGATAATGTTACTTGGATAAGGCCCAGTCCTACATGAATCAGGGACCTTAGCTACAAGTTGGAAAGCCAAGTCTAGACAGACATACATACTAAACAAGCCACCATGGCAAGTTTGGGCTTGTTGACTCAAAGTATTTGGCCCTGATAGAATCTGTCAGAGGGTCACAATGGGATGTTCGTCTGACCACACAACCACCATAATGAAACTATTCCAACAAGCTCATCTCTTACAAGTACTGAAGCTGGGGCATGATATACCTCACATTAGACAGGAGATATGACACAGATGGGTATGTGTTGCAGGACACAATTTGAGTGTGACAGGAAATGAAGAGATCAGATCAGAAAACAGGAAAATTGGGAAAATAGAAGAAACCTTGGCAGACAGTAATTACAAACATATATGTCTTCACTGACTTACCTTGGTTTGTCAGTCACATTTTCTATGCATATTCTTTTCTAACTATGTCCACATGCATCCATAAATATCCTCAGTATATCACTACTAGACTTTAGCGGCCGCCACACTTGCATGTATGTCAAGAGCTTACACAGGTAATTGGAAACGGACAGAGCTTTCACGAAACATGTCTTTGGTTCTTGCACAACATTCCAGAAATCTATCAAATTTCTGTTGAGCCTTCTTACCAGAAATACAAATTTTGAATAGCCAGTATTTGCTAGCATTTATAACCTTGTAATAACATTATTTTTTTAATTTTCATGAAACATTTCATTTTCTCGCCATAAACTCCCTACACATGATAAATGGAAAAAAACCCAGACAATTGCTTTGTAACCCAAGAACTAACACAGTGGGATTCTTGTCTGGCTGGGCAAAAAATCTTTACGGAAAGATCAGAAAGGTTAACCTTTCCCGAAACAAGAAAATTAGTCGCATAGTTAGTCCTGAAATAGGCTTTCTCCAAATTTACCTGGACAGAAAATCTGTGAACTCTGACATTCAATGCAAGGGAGATAACCCACGTCCAACCAACAGTTTGCAAGGAGCTTCAACCCATTCCATGTACAGTGGACTTCCCGGCAAGGTGGCTGGGATAAGTAATCCAATGTCTAGGCTATGATCCCCAAAGCAGGGAGATGTTTATGTTGCAAGGGTTGATCTACATATATCATGACAAAGCAGAAGCAGGAATTGGGGGTATTGTACAGAACTAGAAACCTGCATTGCCACATCAAACATCTTAGACATTCTACCTCTTGTGTCTGGAACATAGGTGTGAAGGGATACAGAGGGACGGATACCGAGCAACAGGACGTGACAGCAGGCAAGGTGGAAGAAACATTCCAGGTAGGAAACATGTAACCATGGTTACCACAGTGATACCATGCATGCCAACTATTTTTATGTTAAAAGTAAAACAGGAATATTTCAAGGCCAATTTTACATCAAATAACATGAAAAACAGTAAGTCAGAAGGCAGTCTTAAGAGTTTGTTACTGAAGTGTTTTAAATTCATGAGAAAAAACGAGAAGTATCTGCAGAGAATTATGAAACATTAGCCACTGCAGCAACTCATGAGTTCTCAGATCTGGGAGGAGTACCCAATGGAGGTGGGACAACAAAATGTCAGTTGCCATAGTAACAAAAGGAGATTGATATATACACACACAGTAGTGTGGTACAGACAGACTAGGATTGATTCAGGGTGTGGGGTTTATGCAGCAGTCAGCAATGTTGCAGCTTCACCGAGTGCAAAAGGAGAACAAGTAACGTGGGAAACAAGTGACATTCATCACCCTCTCACTATGGGGCATGACACCATCACCCCCTACACTAGAGGGCATGACACCATCACCCCCCTACACTAGGGGGCATGACACCATCACCCCCTACACTAGGGGGCATGACACCATCACCCCCTACACTAGGGGGCATGACACAATCACCCTCTACACTAGGGGGCATGACACAATCAACCCCTACACTAGGGAGCATGACACCATCACCCCCTACACTAGGGGGCATGACACAATCACTCCCTACACTTGGGGGCATGACACAATCACTCCCTACACTAGGGGGCATGACACAATCACTCCCTACACTATGGGGCATGACACCATCAACCCCTACACTAGGGAGCACGACACCATCACCCCCTACACTAGGGGGCATGACACCATCACCCCCTACACTAGGGGGCATGACACCATCACCCCCTACACTAGGGGGCATGACACAATCACCCTCTACACTAGGGGGCATGACACAATCAACCCCTACACTAGGGAGCATGACACCATCACCCACTACACTAGGGGGCATGACACAATCACTCCCTACACTTGGGGGCATGACACAATCACTCCCTACACTAGGGGGCATGACACAATCACTCCCTACACTATGGGGCATGACACCATCAACCCCTACACTAGGGAGCACGACACCATCACCCCCTACACTAGGGGGCATGACACAATCACTCCCTACACTAGGGGGCATGACACAATCACCCCCTACACTAGGGGGCATGACACCATCACCACCACAGTATGGGGCATGATGACACCACCCCCTAAACTAGGGGGCATGATGACACCACCCCCTACACTAGGTGGCATGATGAAACAACCTCAGCCCTAAATCCCATTAGTTGTCCAACGTCTAGATGAGGTTGTCAGGACTTTTGTGACCTGGAATCTACACTGGGATTTGAAGAGGGGAAGTACTGAATTTCAAAAATGAAAAATAAATAAGAACAAAAATGATAGATGTTATAGAAAAATTCATCAAAAATAAAGAATAAAAACCCAATATTTTCAGATCAAATAAAACATGGAAAAAAAACACGTTTAGTTAAATATTTGAACAAGACAGTTTCCAGTGAAACAAGAGGCAAATGTTTAAGAGTATCTAGATAACTGAGCCCAAGAGTGGGGCGGGAAAGAGGCAAATAAGTGCCCCGCCCACACAGCACTGGGGCGAAGCACTGGCAACACACAAGAGACGGTGTGACAGAACTACCTGGTCATTGGAGCACTCCATGTCACACACATGGCAGTAGAAAGCAGATTTCTCACCGACTGGTGGCTGGAGAAGAAGAGATGAGAAATGAGATGACAGTGGCTGCAGTAGGTAGAGCAGCTGGGCCACAGAGCCACCAGCTGGACGGAACTGGCTCATAGAATAAACCATGGTTGAGATAACAGGGAATTGACTTGCCCCAGTAACAAGAGGCAAACTATCAACACTTAGACTTATGGGAAGAATTTTATTGGGAAAATGCCCAATATATTTGTTTAAATAGTATTTTTGTCAACTCTAGACTGTCCCTAGTAGCTCTTAATGGGGATCCTTTATTCAAGATAGTAAATATTACAGGTTGAGTTGAATATGTCTTTATGACAGAATCATTCATACACAGCTGTACCCTATTAATGTTTTTTTTTGTTTTCGTATTAATGAAGAGAGGATTTTATTAACTAAACAAATGATAAATCTTGATAAAAAAAATGATCTGAATGAAGTCTTATGGTCTCATGTCTTTTAACTGAAAATGATTGTTAAAATGTGATAATAACTATGCCACCTCGTAACCATAGTAACATTTTAAAGCAACCATATCTACAAATACACATGTCTAGTTTAAGTATTAAAGGTGGCAACACAGCGTTTAAAGGACAATAGAACAGGGAGACTTCCATGCATGATTCAGCTGCAGATAACTACACTCGTCAAGACAGAAAACAATTAGAATTCAAACATCAGTGTGTTGCTGCTATTACTCTGGCAAATTCAGATGAAAAACAGCATGCATGTATTGTGTCTAACATAGGAAAACACCTCTTGAACTGCAACCAAACCACTCATAATTGCAGCAGCTTAAACTAAATCTGACAAACATGATGAAGGTTATAGACACAGACACAGATAGGCTCATTATAATGTATATTCAGGATATTTGCAAGAATATCAGAAATCCACATTACCATCATATTGTAGTAAAAAAAGAAGATGAAAACGGAAAATAACACTTATACCAACAGATTGAAATTGGAGGGAATGTCACCAAAATGCAAGGAATTTCTCTACGATCATATGTATCGTGTATATCATTAGTGGAATTCCTAGTCCTTTGAAATCAGTTGAGTGGTATTCTTCTCAAACATTCAGAAGCAAACAAGATTTCTCAATCTCCGTACACATCATATATATGCAAATGTTTTTTAACTTTCCAGTTGTCAATTAAAACACTGACGACTTACATGAAGATGAACACTATCAGTCTGAAGACGGGGACAGATTTCAAACCTAAAGCAACATAACATGACATGATCCTACAGAAATACAAATGGATTACCCCTAACAGTAAGGAACACTGACAAATAAAGGCATGGAATTCAGAATGCGAAACCTTCAAATTAGTGAGAGAAAAAACAACCTATTATGAAACTTGACACTTGTTAAAACTTCAGCAGGTTGAGTAAACAGGATGATATTCTACATTTTCTATTAGGTTCAGATAAAAATACATGCAACAGAAAGTCATCCAGGTCAACCATACCCTCTGTCCGCGATCATCACGTCGAATGTCATCTGCTAGCTCAAGCCCCGGCATCTGGACAACAAAAAGAGTCAGGTAAAATGCATGTATCACAGGAGGGGTCCATAAAAGCTATGTATTTGCTAAATATTCGCAAACAAAATCACCATAACCCAATTAATACAAAGAGTTGTACAATTATTCATGAAAAAAATTGGATACCCAATAGTATAATAGTGTGTGTAATTATCCATTTAGCTCTTCTTGGGAGCGATTTGGTACAGTTTGTTTTAACATGTCTTAACACAGAAAAGTCCAGATAATGTACACAACACAAAATGCAGCACAAACTTCATTCCCTAAATAACCTGTTTGATAATCTATGGACAACACATGCACAAAAAGACAACTATTTTTATAATAAACTTATATATTACATTTGCTTATTTTAGGTATCTGATATATCATATGACTAAATAACGCTCCCCAGCGTCCAATAAGCCTAATTAGGCTTGTGAATGGTGATTTTATGTATGTATTGTAAACCTAAATGTGACTTAAACTGTCCACCGGGACGTCAACACTGTACGATATTTCAAGGAATAGAGTATGTTGCAGTGTCACACAAACCTCATCCCCAGTCGGCCTGGCTGGATCATACTCCTCCATGTCATTCCGACTCCTTCGGTGGGAATCATCTGGCAGAAAACAGTCAAGTTATAGTTTACTCTTGGTGATAAACAACATTTCAATCCCACTGGTAAATGAAATCAAATTATCCTTATTTTGTGTATTTCAAAATTGTAAGGAATTACGATGCAAGCCATTGATCAATAATCAGAATATATCCTTGTCACTCCTAATCATCACAATTACATGTAATAACTGATCTATAAAATATTTCAGCAAATGTGAAAAAAGTTCGTATAACTTCAATGGTCATAAAAAGTTTATGAAAAGCTAGCTATTCAACCATGTAGGATGTAGCAAGGTTGTGTTGGCTCCTCCAAGCTTGTAATTTGTGCTTATTATTTGACCTGTATTAAGGAAGTTAATATTTAACATCACAATTGACCTGTAAGCATTGAAAGGCAACAATGGTAATGACGAAACCAGACACATTCACCTAACAATAACTAGAGAATTTAGAGGCTGCTATTATAAACATGTTAAATAGGCTGCAGGATAAATGTGATTTTGAAAACCTGACAATATGAGCCACCATTCCTTGCTCACAAACATCATTCATCAATCATATCAGCCACAAACTGTTAAATATCTACTGGAACATATCCTGCAGCCTTACTTCAGCTGTTCCTCAACGTGATTCTCGTAAATGTTTCATGACAAAGGGAACTAGGACAATCGGTATGATATCCAATAGGGTCAAGGAGGATGTCCATAGTTACAAACTCATGTGATAATCCGAAATGGAAACACTGCAACTGATTCTTCAGGTAAGAACTATGAAAAGCTGAAAGCAAGATAGAAGCTGCTCCTTAATCACTGCTGAATGGAAACTTCAAAGAAGTCATTCCCTGTGCGCGTAAACTCAACAGGACTGCATGCTTCTGTACAATCCGGAATGAAAACCTCAGTCGACATGCAACAATGTTCACATGTTGATCCAAAACAGGCCTTGCACTTTACCGGGTTTTTCAATCAGCCTGCCATATCTTACAAACACAACTACACACATATTGAACAATGACATTTACAGCCACTGAACTAATCCACTGCACATAAAATTATCATATAAAATAGACATACTGAAACATCTAAATTCTAAGGACAGTCCAGAAACCACAAGTGATCGATGATCATAACCCACAGGGATAGACACAGCCACTAGTTGGTTGGTTTGAGACTAGTTAAAAACCAGAGAAGCAAGTTGTTTTCTATTAAAGTCTAGCTACTTTACATAAACCACGAGTCCAACACGAGCTGTGGACCAGGTGGATTTGGCGAAGTGTCTATCCTCGACTCATGTGGTGATGTTAGGTCATTACTGGCTTCAACCACTGAAAAGCAGTTACCGCTGTCTAAGTGAATGGGCAATTACTAGAAACGGCAACATCCAAAGATGGGCACAATCATTTCGCTGACGTTCATGAACTAATCAGAACAGTCATCGCCATGTGTTCCTTGATCATATCAAAATAGCAGCAAAAAGGGCAGACAAACGTGCTGTTAAGAGCAACCTGAAGCAGCTGTCTTGGCCCTGCAGAGAATGACACATGGGCCATCAGTTGTGAAGATGTTGCCAAGAAACATGATAACAAATGTCCTACAAACATTGTAAAACGTTAGTTCTGACTACATGACCAGCTAGCATGAATGTACGTCACCTGTAAACAAGCCCTCTAAGCAAAGTACAACGTTTACCTGAATCCCGTCGACTGAAGCGACTAGGTCGATCCCTGCGACTTGTGTGTTCTTCTCGTCTTCGACTAGGAGAATAACGGTCCAAATCTCGCCTTCTATCGAAATCCGAGCTGCGGTTTCGCCCCCTCTGGTGGTCACTTGGGGATGACTGAAACCATGACAGTTTGGGGGACATGTTCAGCAGTGGTATGGGAAGGGAGAGGACTCCTAGTGCAAGACTCTCCAGCAGCAACATGACAGCGGTGTTTCCACACCTCTCAACACCCCAGTAAGGTGAATAAATGAACTTGCAAGTCAGCAAAACCAACATGTTCAATCAAATTAAAATCAAAATGAAAATATTTGTGAAGAAATATTCTGGAATACTGGTATCACTGTGAAAAACAGGAACATTTTGAATACCATTTAGATTGGTAGAAAGGTTCACATTGAACCATATCAACGTCCAAGAACAAGGTATACTTACAAAACTGGCGAGTGATACATACTGATTGACGGTATTGAGCGTATATGTGCAGATGTTTCACTAACAGATTAGGGGCAATGTGAACAGCCAGAAAATGAGTAGCTATATGGAAAATAAGTTGGAAGAGGAAAAATAACAAAAATGTTTAAATTAAGGTAAAACAATGCTAAGTATGAGTACTAACAAGTCCAACAATCTTGTAAGCTTTGAAGTATAAGTTGAAATTACCAACATACAATAGAATCATTCAATTCAAAAATAAGAATGGGAAAAATTCCTGCATGCATCATTTGCAAATGGAGCATGATCCAAGTCATTCCAGCGCTTCAGTCAATTGATGTGGTGTGAATAATATTGCAGGATTCAAGTCAGTTCCAGTAACCATGGCAACAGGTTCTATCTTCCTCTCTTCAACTTTGATAAATCTGTCTTGAAAGTTAATGGAAACCTGTGGATACAGACAGGCCCAAAAAGAACCTGCGCTTGCTTGAGTGAAAAATAATGTCTTGAAGTCTCAAGAATATTGCAAGAAAATGAACTCTTTGGAATACTGCACAGAGTTCTTGAAAATGCATCTGAAAGTCAGTCCTGAATGTTTGTTCTTCGAACATTATGAAAGACATAACTGGATTCCTCTTGGCAACCTTTATGAAGAAGGGATGAAGAATCTGTAGAAACTACAATTCTTGATCAATGTTTGGCAGAGATCAAGAAACATTCTCATGTTCTTTGAGGAACAAAAACGAACGCTGTGACAATAAAAAGGAAAGAGATGAGGCTTTTCTCCTCTGGCAACGAAACCCAAATGAAGAATTCACTACATGAACACCTACCGAATCCCTACGTCGACGCTTGATGTCCATATCTCGGTTCACTGATGGCACTGAACGTTTGCCATGACGTGATGATGGCATATCCAGCAAGGAGGGGATCATTGGCCGCGACATGCTGGTTGGACTTGGCAACATCGGACCCATGTTTGGAGGCATTCCCACATCCATTATCAGCTGGTTCTGTTTCTGCAGCAAGTTGCTTGCCAAAGCCAGCTGGGACTCTCTCAAACTAAGTTGCTGTTGAAGACGTCGCTGTTGGATCATGGTGTCAATGTTGTCACTGCTACTGCTGCTGCCCATCATCCCTTGCATATTGCTGAACCCACTAATGCCCATGCTGCTGCCTGACACAGGGGGTTCCCCTAAAATGCCCCGCCCACCTGCTCCCATTCCAAGTGAGCTCATGCTCTGCATGTTCATATTCCCCATGCCCATCTGCCCCACATAGTTCTGTTGACTCTGGTTCTGACCCCACACCATGCTGCCGGATCTACAACAGAACACAGAAGTGAGTGAGCGAGAGTTGGTTCAAATTAAAATCACCTTCCCTTTACTCACCGACATCTTATATTAATATTTCCACTATTTCAGTTATTATAAAACTATCATTACAAAACATAATGAGATTATCTCAACAAAGCCATAACATTAGTTATAACTTAATTAGGACATTTGGTACATATGCATTACCATACATTGATAAACTGTCAGGGTGTCAGGGACATTAAAGCCTTCAGTATCAGGATATTTGCATCTTAACACTAACAGGGAGACTTAATCACTTTTAATATAGCAACAATTAAATTTAAATGTTAAACAGACATCACAATCTGTCAATTTACAATGGCTTAGTACCACAAAGGTCAGTTTTTATCCATACTCATTTAACATGCTTTCAGGGCCTTCATTTATGGAACAAACAAACAATTTGAGAGAATATTAATTTAATTTGATTTTCCCCTAAAAGAAAAACTAAGAACTATTTCAGTAACATAAATGGTGGAAAATGCTAAAGATATACTTGGCTAGGCTAGACAAACAAGTACCTAACATAAGAAAAACTCTAGGCCATCTGACTGCTTCCACATTTTATGTAAATCCTGAACAGTATATATATACCATGATAGATTTATACTTACTTTTACGTTCAATATGATTAGTGTACAGAATTTCTACAGTAACCTACATCTTGCTTAACAATGATTAATTTCTTTTGAAAACCTCAATTTATGTAGAGACAAACAGCTCATAGTTTATATGTTTAATACTATGAGAATTGTGTGAACATGCAATCTGTGCAAAAATCTTGGGACTCTAAGCCTTATATTGAGCAGATTTTAGGTTACATGTATTATGGGGACTATTATAAGCTGAGCTTACTTGACCAAACAGAATGACAAAACTAGGATTTGGGATAGTGGCTAATGTCGCAGACATGTCAAACAAACTATTTTGTTCATCTTGACACCGCACTGACATTCCAGCTATGCGAGGCCTGGACTAGAAAGTCCAGTGATTGACATTGTGAACAACAAATCACACCTTTGAGGAGTAGGCCGAACCTGACCAACCGATCGTCTCTTATGATCAGTATAGCTTGCTGGGGACCTGATTCAACCTGGAATCCCCACACGCCACAGGGGCAAGAAACTTATGACTGCAACAACATATATTATCATTGTATTGACAAGTTAGCAGGCATATGCCGGAGACTTTCCAAATATTATGGTTTGCAGCATGAAACCATTGCAGCATGACATTGCTCAAACTGACAAATGTGTGCTATTCCATGTAGTGTATCCAGAGGACGTGGGCCGATGCTGAAAAGCTGCCATTTCTTGCCAAATGTGATAGGTCAGACAGAAACACAGAGAATGGGGATGGTATTTCGTGTTTTTAGATAAGGTTAAAGCGTCCGGAGTTACAAAGGGTAAAATAATTCCTCGTTCAAACAGTTGAGCATACCACGTGTGTCAGGTTTTAGCGCGCGTAATTTCTGTGCAGACGACGAAAGCAACAGACGAAAGCAGGGTTTTGGAAAGCGCCGGGTTTGCTAATGTATTGTGAACATTATGTTTCGTCCATGGAATTTCTGATAAATAACATAGAGCTTACCCTAACACATCATAACACCATGGACCAGGTAATTGACAAAGGGCGGGATTCACTATCACAATTTACTCTGCATAATAAGGATTTAAGGAATTCGTTATTCAGCTACTGGTTTAGTTACATGTACAATTCAAATTTGCCTCTTATCTGCTATTTGAAAAACATGTATTTCAGATGCCAAACCTTGTTAATTAACACAGACTGGAAGCTTCTCCGGTGACGAAACCAATTGGCTACGTGAGCGTGTCGTGTCTTGACTAATGGCGGATGTAAATACTCTCAATCACCGAAAGTATTCTAAGGTTGTTGCGATTTCTAAAGCAAACTAGTTGGTACGCGGGGGTAATATTATTTGTCCCTTCTATCACAATTTATGTGATAATACCTTGCATTCGATACAAACAGTATTTTGTCGTTGATGCAGAAAAGAGTTTTGACTCGAGGGTAACGGTGCTATTTTCGTAACAACATTTCCTTACGTCAACATGCACTTTCTTGGTTGCGTTTATTAGAAATTGTACACATTTGACTGCATTTAACGTTACATCAGGACTCCATGTGAAACAAAGTGCCATTGAGTGTTTACTAAATAGTTATCATTTATATGGTCTCTGGTTATAAGTAGTTTTCTTATATTCTCTATATTTTCTCCTTTGGGTCCAGTATTGAGTATTTTTACACCACCGATTAGGCATTTTTCAAATAATGCTGTTTAAATGCCGTGGCTTCTAATTTGTATCTGTTGGTGTGCTGCTCCAAATTTGTAGCATGTCGCAAAAACTCACAACAGTTGTATACATGTCTAATTAACGACAAACGAGATGTAGTGCCTCGTTTAAATGCATTATTCACTGCAGTAGAATAGCTAGACTAACATTTAGTCTCTGAAATCTTATATTACACAATATCCTTCTTGACTCTAAAAATATAAAAAAATCCCTATGCTGTGGAATAGAGCTAGCTTGAGCTGGCTAGACTTGCTTTTGTATGCATTTCTAGATTATTATTTTTTCATAAAATAAATATATTCCACGGTCATGGTGCAGGACTATAGCATAGCATGCATGGGCTCTTGCCTATATAATGTCTGCATTCGATCAGTTTATAAATCTCTGTAAAGAAATACAGGTACGGAAGTTGACGACATTAGATAATTACGCAGCGTGGTGTTATACTGTGTGTTTTTTGTTTGTTTTTGTTTTTACTTTTTTACATTTATTATGCTCTGGTACATGTCAAACACCATTCGTGACCAACTCGTCCCATTCCGAAACAAGCCGAATGTGGTTTACGGAAACATGCGAGTGGTGACGAATGGTTAAACATATCACCATGCAATGGAAGGTTATTTAGTGGAAACAATTGCATTGCGAACGGGCATGTATACACTATGTAGGAAGTATTGCACCTACACGAGACACCAGACTTACACCCCGTCCCCAAACACGATATACCACCTCTGTAGTCTATGTAGAGCGTCTGCCCAGAGAGCAGAATTAAGGTCAGTGCCAGTGGTTCGATCCCCGGCCGTGTCATACCAAAAGAGTGAGTGCGTTTTGTTTTACGCCGCTTTTAGCAATATCCCAGCAATATCACGACAAGGGGCACCAGAAACGGGCTTCACACATACCCATATGGGGAATCGAACCCGCGTCTTCGTCGTGACGAACGAACACTTAAACAACAAGGCTACCCCACCGCCCCCATGCCAAAAGACGAACACGTGGTAAACATGATAAACTGTGGCATAGTATCACAGAGGGCTGGTACTATAAAACCGACAATTATCCGGACTAGTACAAGCACACACACTCATACGTTCATGCGACTCGCTTTATAAATGCAAAAATCTTGAACACGACGTTATCACTTCACCTCACCAAGGGGCGGTCGGGTAGCCTATTGGTTAAAGCGCTCGCTCGTCACGCTGAAGACCCTGGTTCGATTCCCGACATGGGGGACAATGTGTGAAGCCCATTTGTGGTGTCCCCCTCCGTGATATTGCTGGAATATTGCTAAAAGCGGCGTAAAACCCCACTCACTCACTCACCTCCCCAAACATCATTCATTTTTACTCAGTCCGTTTGTGATTGTATGAATGCTTCAAACAGTCGCATTTCTGGTACAAATGTCATACATGATTTATATTGTCGTCTAGCCGAATATTTCTCAGATCAAGGTAGAATTAGGACTATTCTGTTGTTTCAGTGTACAACACTGTATATTTAACCGGGCTAAATTGAATTTGAAATCGAACGAGCAACCCGCCGACCCTATATTTTTAGCAAACATTTTATTTGAAATTGAAGAGCCCACTTTTATTGTTAATTTTATTGCAACCACCAACCCAAGGTGTTCAGAAAATAACAGCAAACCAACTAAATGTAATACAAAAAGTTGACATGATAGAATTTGCTTCATGGTGTGTTATTTTGTAATTGATGGGTCATGCCACTATCATGCTTTGGCAACGGTTAACTTCGCTCTCGCGCCATCCCTATATTTGTTGTAGCATGTCTGACTGATGGGGCAGACCGCTCTATAAACTGGAAAAAAAGTGTATCAAATAAAATCTCGTGGCATTTTAATGAGTCGAGACAGACGGTGTTACCTGCACTCCTGTGCATGACCCAGTGTTACTGTTTGTATTTACGGTTTGAAGCTTCACATTCACCTCTTGTGTTCACTAGGTTCGTTCTTGTTCAATCCGTCATCGACCGCCTCTGTGGTCTAGTGGTAGAGCGTCTACCGGAGTGTTGAAGTGGGGTTAAATCACCGACCGGGTTATACCAAAAGACGACTAAGATGATACTTGTTGTTACCCTGCCTGGCGCTCGGCATAAGGGACTATAACAAGGACTGGTCGGCTCGGAGTCAGTGTACTGTGTCTGAGTGGGGAATTCGTGTTACACTGCTGCATGGTATCTCAGTGGGCTAGCACTATGCAATCGGCATTAGTCCGGACGAGTACAAGCAGCCCCCCCCCCCCCCCCCATCCCCACCCCGCACACGTACATGCACGTCGCTATATCAGTCATCAACAAGGCCTGAAACAGACCTGCTGACCTGCTTTTAAAGACAGGGGTTAGTGGAGATTGCTCGGGTGCTTTATTTAATACGTTGGTAGGCGATTACACATAAATTTGAATGTAACATGGGAATCAGCAATAGAAGGGAGGTAACTCATATAGCCTCGAATGTTCAAGGTGTCCTGCTTCAAGGCTGGTACGCCGGCTAAAGGAATATAACGGCGATTCTACCAAAAGTGGCAAAATAGTCACATGCTTTCATCACACATTACACACAAACCCATTTGTTTCAGCATAACTATTGTCACCTATGTTAATTAAGGTTAATACAAAAAGAGCGAGTGAGTTGGGATTAACGCCACTATTAACATTATTCCAGTTATATCACGGCGTGTCAGCTTAATGTGGGAGGAAAGCCCGAAGTGATGCAGGTCTCAGACGTTAACCACTTCGGTGAAACCCACGAGCACGGGTATGGTGCTGACAAACATAGAAACATAATTGGGTCGAACCGGGATTCGAACCCACAACCATAGGTTTCTGGCGTGCCCAAGGGACGCAACTCTGCACAGCGAATCGCGGCGCCTTAGACGACTGAGCCACCCGTGTCCCCTTATACAAATCAACTCTGTGGCAGAGTTTGTACCATAACAATTGATATAAAAATGTGATGAATATAAGACATCAACGTCAAATGTGATTACGAAAACATAACCAATTGATTCCATAAATCTTAATTAATCCTGATATGGGATGTAGTGGGGTTATTTAAATTTTGGAAATATAGAATCGAATTTGATTATGTACCCAGTGCCAAATGGCGCACCAAGGGGTAGAAGTCACAAATGATATAATGTGCAGATTTCTAGAGTGTTATAGCTTTTTAAAAAAAACTAAAAATGTGCCTAAAGTAAATGAACGTTAAGCTAGGAACAAACAAAATCAGAAACAGAAACAACATCTACTTGAAGGAGCTTTATCATGTTCTTATAAACGGGCTTGAAGCAGAAATATGTTATGTCAATGGTAAGATCATTTTGGCACTGTCAACAGTATTGCGGTTGTTGTTGCTTTATCGCCGCACTCGTATTCCAGCTATATGACGGCGGTCTGTAAATAATCGAATCTGGACCAGACAATCCAGTGATTGATATCATGAGCATCAATCCACGCAATTGGAATCGATGACATGCATCAACCAAGTCAGCGAGACTGACCACCCGATCCTGTTAGTCGCCTCTTACGACAAGCATAGTCGCCTTTTACGGCAAGCATGGGTTGCTGAAGACCTGTTCTATACCGACTATTGTGGTAATGACGTCTGTAGGTTGCATATACACAACCTTCCCTCGACAGTTAAATATATATATAAACCTATCCCATCAAACCGATAACACAACAGACATGAGTTAGTTTAAATGTAACGTCGCATCGACTACAGCGAAGAGAACAAGCTGATATATACACACGTGAGTCATGCATACAACGTTATCTGAAAACAAATTTGGGCATAACAATATTATTTATACAGTTTAAAACACGGGCTATAGGCCCACAGTAACCAAAGCTAGGTTACCTCGCTGGGGATCATGGGGACTTACGGTGCCTCATCTTCCTGCACGACAGGATTTACGTCAATTTAGACATGAAAACACGCTGACGTCATAACCCCAACAACAACTTGCGATGTGGTAATGACTGTTTATGTTATTGAACGTTCTGGTATTGACTGCTCTGGTTTTGGTTGGTTGGTTGGTTTGTTGTTTCACCCCGCACTTAGCAATATTCCAGCTATATGACGGCGGTCTGTAAATAATCGAGTCTGGACCAGACAATCCAGTGATTAATATCATGAACATCGATCCACGCAATTGGGATACGATGACATGTATCAACCAAGTCAGCGAGCCTGACCACCCGATCCCGTTTGTCGCCTTTTACGACAAGCATAGTCACCTTTTACGGCAAGCATGGGTTGCTGAAGACCTATTCTACCCCGGATCTTCACGGGTCCTCTGGTATTGAATCATTCGGTAATGACTCTTCTGATGTGTTTCCTTGCACTAGTCCGGACTGATACCGGTTTATTGTGCTGGGCCACTGAGATACCATGTCGCAGTTTAACATGAACACCCCACTCAGACACAGTATACTGACTCGATACCATCGACTTTTTGTAAAAACAGAACCCTTTACACAAATGACTAGTTGTAGGTGCATGAATCGTTACACAAGTGACTTGTTGTAAATAT